AGACTCTGAAGCCAATACCCATCTTTCACTCCTGTTCCTCACCAAAGGCAAACTTAAGGCATACAGCTTGTCATCCAGAAGCGTGCTTATACAGTAGCCAACACATTTAGATTTGTCCTCCATGTGTCAAATTCCCTCTCAAAACTATCTACATCAGTGGACATCACCACATTCTGTAAAACCATTACAGCTTGTCATCCAGAAGCGTGCTTATAGCCAACACATTTAGATTTGTCTTCCATGTGTCAAATTTCCTCTCAAAACTATCTACATTAGTGGACATCACCACATTCTGTAAAGCCAAGTATAATAATTTAACTGCACAGTGCATGAAGAAGTACTTCCAGTTGTCTGTCCACAGTCCTCCAGCATTTAGCTTCACTGAATGACCCTGGGTTCTAGTAGGGTGAGAAAGGAAAAAAAATCTTCCTCATATTTTTTTTCATACCTTGCATAATGTGTTCCATCACATGGGCACTGATCAGCTGTTTTATAAACAAAAAGTCCCCAAAGTTGTAATGAAGTCACTCCAGCCTCATGATCATTTAGGTGCCATTTTCTGCATCTTTTCTGGTGTGTCCTGCCTGGAACTGTATATAGTAATGTGGCCATCACATCCAATATTTGCATAAAGGCATTGTGAGGTTAACAGTTTTATTTCTCATCTGTCTCCACATGACTCTTCGCAGAAAATCCAGTTTATTATACCTGCTGTATGCTGATCCACTGTATGTTGAATATGTATGGGTATAGGAGAAAATCTGATTGTCTTAACTAACTACATTTACCCCACACAAAGCTATCAGGTCTGCAAAACAATACATTGTGCACACATACTCAATGAGCTATTTCTAATATTTCAGGAACTCCTAGCATGCTTTTTAATCACTAATCTTTCTGCTACTTTCTTTAGTTCCTTGTGGACATACTGGTGGATTATTATTTTTACAGCACAACTGGGCGTAGTACTTTGCAGAGCAAGCCTGGAGCTAGATAAAGCATGACTACCATCAACATCAAGAATGTCTCTTTTCCTCCTTCCTTCACTGCTAACACTCACTCACTTTACTGCCTGCCACTTCCTATGGTCAGAGAATTCTAAGCACTGGCAATGTCCAATACCATAGCTTTGGATTATTAGAGATGTCAAGAGGGGACAGAAGAGCAAGTTTTGGTGGGAGCCACAAGCCTCCTGTAATTTCTAAATCGAGGCTTACATAAACGGAGGACAAAAAGGCCACCTTGAGAGGTTTACAGAGGAATGCTGGCACAATGTAGCTTTCCTGAAGTAGTACCTTCCATGCAACTGGAGGTGCAGTCTTGTGGCACAGTGGTTAAACCGCTGTATTGCAGCCAAAAGTGTGCTCACGACCTGGGGTTCAATCCCAGGTAGCCGGCTCAAGGTTAACTCAGCCTTCTATCCTTCCGAGGTCAGTAAAATGAATAGGGGGCAATGTGTAGCTTGCATCATTAACTTGTAAACTGCCCAGAGAGTGCTTGAAGGACTATGGGGCGGTATATAAGCAGCACGCTTTGCTCTTTTTTTGCTTTTAGTCCTACATATATAGAGAGCGCCAAGTTGGGACAGGCTAGTATTAAGAACTCAAGAGATGGAGAGAAATGTGCGGAGAAGAAAGGATAACAAAGGATGAATGCAGATGTGCACTCAAGCAGATCAAGGATTAAGCCATGGTTTCTACAAAGAAAAAGTTAATAAGAAGGCACATTGGTTCATAGGCATTTTTTTTTATCCTCTGGGAAATGTCAGCCTTAGGTTTTAAGGAATAAAGTGTTTAAACAGCTGCTTGAATTCAGTCATTCCACTGAATTACAATGGTATGAATTGCATGTCTCTTCTCTAACACCCTTGGGAGTGCTTAACCTTTCCCCCATCCCATCCAATGTCACAAACACACTAAGTTGTTATGTTTATCATATCGGGTCCAAAAAGTGCTGCATCCAGTGTTTATTATCGAGAAGGATGGGAAAGTGGGTAGAAAAGAGAAGGACAATGAGGTTGTACAGTGGAACCTCTACTTAAGAACTTAATCCGTTTTAGAATGGTGTTCTTAAGTTGAAACATTCTTAAGTTGAAGCAAAATTTCCCATAGGAATGGACTGAAAACCAATTAATCCGTTCTGGCTGTTTTTTTTGTTATGTAGAGGTGCGTTCATACATTGAAGCATTAGTTCCCATAGGAACTAATGCAAAGCTGGTTAATACGTACTCTACCACTAGGGGGATAATTTTTTTTAACCTAAGATGACCTAAGGTTGAAAAAAGAGCAGGAAAGGTTTTTTTTCCTGTTCTTATCTTGGATTTCTGTTCTCAAGTAGCAGCAAAATTTAGCAAATGTAGCTGTTCTTCAGTTGGATTGTTCTTAAGTAGGGACGTTCTTAAGTAGAGACCCCACTGTAATACTATTAACCTAACTGTTCTGTTCAGGTGAACAGATCAACATGCCACAAAACCCATTTTGATCAGGTCTCACGAGTACAATCAATACAAATATCCAAGGCATGTAACAAAAAATAATGAACCAGGAAGTACAACAATCTGTCTGCCTCTTACTGAGGGTCACCATTCAGGGATGACAGAGTGCCATTAACAATGTGCTGCCTCTCTAACACTGAGAGAGAAAAGGATCTTCAACAAAGCTGCCGCAAAGAAGGATGCTGTTTATGATTCCTGCAATTCAGTTCCTTCCTGACCCTCATGCCTTTCAGCCCCATACCCAACATTAGTCAGTATTTTGTGTTCACTGAGAATTTCTAGTCCACACTGGGTTGTTTTCATTCCCCATTCTCTCTCTCTCTCTAACTCTCTCTCTCTCTCTCTCTTACTTTTCTAAATATATTGTAGACTTGTGTAAACCCTCCTCTTGCATGAGGAGTAATGCTATTTTGGCAACATGAACCCTAGCACTCAGCGTCTAAACATAAGAAACAGAGGAAAGAGGGAAGTTATACCAAACCATCAGCACTACATTTTCAAAGATGGTGCTCAAAGTCACAGGAAATACTCAAACACTTCCTTTTTTTGTAAACTGAAGAAACCACAACATGTGATTTTTTTTGCTCTTGAGAAAAAGAAGCAGCTGACCTCACATAAGGCAGCTGCTCACACACATAGCTTGTTGGCATGACCCAAATTTCTGTGAACAGAGTGGCCTTGCTGCAGAAGTGGAAGTACCTCTTTTATTCCAAAAGATTCAGCTTGAATGACTGAAGTTTTCCTCCCAGAAGCACTAACCGTTAACAATGACTGCAGAGAATTCTACAAGTCAGTTGTAGAACTAAAATAATTCATTCTTGATTATGTTAAATTTTCTGTTCAGAAATGTACTGTCTTTATACTCCCAATATCTGGCTAGAGGCAAACAGTTATTCCTAATGGCATTATGTGTTGTTTTTTGCAGTATCACATTATGTGCCCAGCATTATGTTTTGGCAGAACTATTACAACATCATTGTTGCAGAGCTACAGGAGAAGAAACCTTGTGAAGCAATCCTGATTTTATAGTGCATAAAAAAGGTTTAAGCACTTTGAAAAGTATTTCTCTGTATATGTTTCTTCAGAGCTTATTAAGAGTTCTACATTTCTGTTGATTTTATGCCACCCTAGCAAACAGAGCCACAACTTTTTAAAGTTCTCTGAAGCACATGCCTCCCTCTGGAGCTGCCAAAGTAGCTCAGAACAGCTGGACATTTTCCATTGGTAGACTTATTTGTTGAAATGAAGTGAAACCATTTTTCCTGGCAATTCTCATTTTAAGGTGCCAACTGTGATCGCATTTCTAACTTTTTCATGCATCAGTTTACTTCCCATTTCATACACAAGAAAAGCACATCATGGAGCTAAATAGTATCGGATCTTGTTGCTGTCTTGCACTCAATGAGCTCTTAAGGGCCTTCAAAGCCGTAGGAATTGGAAGAAGATTGCAACTTATTGTCTCCCTCCCGATGCTGTCCAATCACCTAATCAATCAGTCCCTGCACAAAAGCTGCAGTACACAATGCAAGATATTCAGGATGTCCCCAGAAGAAGGGAAATATGAACTGCTTCTGTGTATTTTCTACCTAGGAATCTCATGGCACAGGGATTTAACTACAGTGCTGCAGTGAAGACACTGCTCCTAACCTGAGTTCAATTCAATTCAGTAAGGGTGTACTTAGTTGTTCTCACATGGCTTCTCCATTTTGGATTTATTTTTGTAAAATAAATCATGACAGTGTAATATGCCATGTGTTGTTCATCTGTGATTGTATTTACCTAGTTTTCAGATCTGCTAAGGACGAGATAATTTTTAGTATGTCTTGATACATAAAACCATAGAATTCGAAGAGGGTATACTTTCTTTTTCAAATGACTGCACCAGATGCTACATTAGATCAGTGGTTCCCACGCTTGGATCTCCAGATTATTGGACTAAATCTCCCAGAAGCCTTTGCCATTAGCTGAGCTGGCCAGGAATTTTGGGAATTGTAGTACTAGAACATCTAGGGACCCGAGGTTGGGGACTACTGGATTAGATGCACAAATTACTGCCTTGGGCAAAAGTTTTTACACAGCACTTAGACTAGCTCCTAAGAAATCATACCACATCCAAGTGTACTATATAGCCCAAAGGGATAAAAGTGAATTGTTGAATTAACTTTGTAATGAGTCGACACTTATAATGTAATTAATCTTTAAAATGAAGTGTCTTGAGAATGTTGAAATGTGAGTGAGACAATTGGGGACAATGGGCAGCCATTTGGCTACAGAAAGATTTCAGGATGACAGAGATGAAACAATTTATTTCACACACAAAAATCATTTTCTCAAAAAGTCAGCATCATTGCAGAATAATATGGCTTTCAATAAAGTCTGAAAGCATGACTTTCTGAATTCTAGGAAGCATAACTTCCACAAAACTCAGCGTGAGAACTCCTATGAGCAACAAGTCAGAACACTTCCACAAGAAAAAGAAACTACAGGGACTATTAGAGTAAGTTGGGAACTTCTAAGGTTCCAGCTTTATAACATCTCTTTTCTTGCCAAGGTCTGCACAGATTAGTCATTCACAGTTTACAGCTGCCCCTTGTGGATGTATAAGAAAACTGGACAGCTGCAGTATTTAACACTTAACCAGTGCTTGGAGCCAACAAACAATGTACTTTTGAATTCCACTTTTAGAGCTAAAGAAGCCATTCCAGGATTTTTTAAACCAGGCATTGATGGAATAGCAGCATTGCTCCTATATCAATCTGAGAGTTTATCTAATTCCTACTTAATAGTTTGAAAGGTTCTGTGTATTGGTAAGTATATGCAACTACAGCATTCTAATATGTATTGTTTGGACTTGTCTTCTAAATATTATTTCATGTACAATATGTGTAATCCTAATGCAAGTTTCTTTTTCAGCTTAAAATCAGCAACAAGAACTCTGTAAGATAACTAGAAATGTGCTGTTTTCAATAATGAAATGTATCCATTCTTTCTCATTCTCCAATATTTCACAAATAAAAAGTTAGGGACATTACAGAGCCCTTTCCTTTAACTACCATACACTTATAGTGTACTAAAAGCTTTTCTCTGTAGCATTATTTTGTCTTAAAATGATTCCTGAGACAACTATGAACTGATTTCTTTCACAATTATGTTAATTTATATTCTAATTTTGACCTTTCAAAAGATTTAGTTTTATTTTTCAAAAACTACAGAAAGTTCAAACCAGTTGTGTTTGTCTCTCTGGAACTTGAAGATATTCAGCATAATTTTATATCTGGATGGACAGATGGTGGAGTGAGGCAGATGTCAACTTAATTTTTAAAAACACAGCCCTGGGTGTTTTCTCCAGAAAAGGCAAAAACATGGCATAAGGCAGATTGATTGTCCTGGTACAATCAGACAATTACAAAGTATTTTAGAAAGAAGAATAAGTTTGCATTTTAGTTTGTGGCTAGAGAGGGTTAGAAAAATCCAAATCGGTCCTTCCTTTTCTAATGCCATCTGTTCTTTATACACAAGCCAAGAGTAAACTACAACTCATTATCTCTATTCCACTGAAAGGTAGGAAGAAAATAATGACAGAAATTACTTTTTTTAAAAAAAAATAAACTTAACGTTGGACTCTTATAAGCAAGAATAGGCAACTTGTTTTGCCTAAAAAACATCCTTGGTAATGCTTTCCATTGTATTTTCAAACTGACCCCCACAACTATGCAGCCTCCAGGATTAGAAATCTACTTTTCTTTGGTCAGAAGACTGGATTTTGTTGTCCCCACTCTGTACAGATTCTGTTCTGGACACTGAAGGCAAATTACAGACTGAAAGCAGTGTGAATGTTACTCATCCCTGCCTTTTAGCAGAACTGAAGGAATTTAAAAAGTAGTAATTATACACATTACAACACAAGTAATACTAATCCTATTGTGGTACTTATGTTTGTGCCCTTTGAAGTCAGTAGGCTCTGAAAGTGCTTAGTTCAAGGCAAGTTGCTCATGGTGAAATAAAACTTTACATCATCAGGAGGCTTCTTAAACTAGGGCACTTGCAAGAGGGCATAAAATCAAGGATAGGGCAAGATCCAGAGACAACTGGCATCTTCCTTCCCTCATAAACCACATTATTGATAGACTGTACGCTTCACAGCAATGAAGCATCTCTGATCCAGTGTGTATTTGTGAGAATGTGTATCACTATCTAAATGAGAACAGCTACTTTTGTGTTGTTAAGCCCCTCCCCCTCCCACTGTTTGGTTTAAAAAATTAGAAATGTTACTTTTTGGGAAGCTACTGGTCATCTTGCTTGAAAGAATCTGTATGCTCTATTCCAGAAATTATTCCAAGTTATACTTAGTTTTGGAAAGGGTCAGAAAGATGTCATTCCACTCTTCCTCCTCCTCTAATGCAAGTGTGAGATTATGATCCCAAACTAGAGTTTCCAGCATGCAGCAGCAAGCATGCACAAAACACAAGCGCAAGCAAAGGCTCTTTACACATTCACCTCTAGAGCAGGTGATGATTGACTGTCACTGGTGTTAAGAAAGCAAGTAGTAGCATGAGTTTAGAACACTCCAAAAGTTTCAGCCTTTATACACAAAACATGTCTGAGGATATAGATTCTATAAACTTTTAGCATTCTCCTAGCTGGATTCTACTTGGAAGTTAATTCTGCTGAATTAATTACAATTTACAGAGCAAAATTTAACTAGCCAAGATGACCAACACCTGGCTGAGTTGACACTAAGCCAGGTGAAGCTGTGCTGAATCAAATTCCCTCCCACCCTACTCACAGTGGATATTACTTAGGACAACTCTGACCACGGCCAACCTTTATGCCACCATAGTGACTGAATCCATGATTTAGAAGATGTTTGGGTCTGGTTTAAGCACTCGCTTGCTTAAGCCAGCACTTGCTTGCTCTCACTCTCTGTGTGTGTTGGTTTGTTTTGGTTTTGGTTTTTATGTTTATTGGCTCTTCTGCCATCTGGCACTTAGCCAGCACAGAAGTTCTGCCAACAAAGCTACTTGTGCTAATGGGTCTGAGATCAGCCAGTTTATTTATTTTATTTATTTTATTTATACCCCGCCCATCTGGTCTTGTGACCACTCTAGGCGGCTTCCAGATAGATAGTTCAATAGAGTTGTTGGCAGAAGGTGTTGCCCATACAGGAGTCTTCTGCCTATTCTATATCCACTACAGCCAGAACATATTTGAGCCTATTTTGTACAGTTACTTCCTAGTATGGATGTTCAGTAACAATGCGATCCCATAAGACAAAAAGCATAAGTCAACAAACAATTATCCTGTGTTACACAGCTATTAGGCATGGTGTGTTGCTTGAGTTTTATTAAATAAAAAGCAGGGAAGTGACTAATATAAT